AAAATAGCGGTTTTCGTTAGATGAGCATTAATACACTTTTAATGAGTATCATACACATTCTTTTGAGTATTAGAAGCCTGACAATGAACATCACGATCTTTGCTTAATATTTTTTAATTCACATTTTTTTCTTTTATAAAAACGTATTATATTATATCTATAGTCAACTTCTATGAACTTCAATATGTGAATCTAATGTAAATTTGTACTTTTGAAATATGAATTGATATGACATTTTCAAAATGAGCATCACATGAGTACCAATTGAACATACTAATTTATAAAATGAACATTGATATGAAAATCATAAGTTGGTTAGTTAAGCATCAAGACATTTTCATTGTGCATCAAACCTCATGTATTATATTGAGTATTAGAAACATGCAATAGAGTATCATGGTCTGTGCCCTCGTATTTATAATCAACTCATATGTTAATCCAATGTGATGGTCCCGGATAGAGGTAAAAGTCTAGAGGGGGGGGGGGGGGGGGGGGGTGAATAGACTTTTAAAGCTTTTTCAATTTGGAAACACTTTTCCCTCTAGATGAGTTGATCTATAATCTTTTGAGAGATTAATAGATGCACAACGGAAGTCTTTAACCTCTTGATTATCAGTATGAAACAATCTTTCTAGTTCTGGTGATGTTTGGACTTTAAACCGTGAGCAGTTGGCTTGGCAGTTGCCTGGTGGGCAGAACACTGCTGAGGCAACTGCTGGGTTGGCAGTAGGCTGGAGGGCAGGAGACTCCTGAGGCAACTGCTGAGAAACAGGATGACTCTTGGATAGGCTTTTTGTCCTGCCTTGTTATGGAGTTTGGAAAAACACGTATGGATGGGCAGTGGGCTCAGCAGGAGAGTGAAGACCAGGGTACTGCTGAGGCACCTTCTGAGTGTAAGATAACTTCTAGTGGAGTCGATGAGAGTGAGTTATTAAGCAGTAGGCTAAGCAGTAGAGTCGATGAAGACTACTGCTTAGGATGCTGCTGGCAAACTACAATCCTTTAGTGAGATGTGTTTGGTGTGTGCTCTGCATGTATGAAAGTAAATCAACACACGATATATCCTGGTTCAGAGGTGGTGTAATCCTCCTACATCCAGTCTCATTCTATTTCAAATGGATTTCCACTAAAGTATTCAGCCCAATACAATTAGTGCCAATCTAGCCTTGACAACTCTGGCCTAGATTGAAGGCGTTTCACAAGGAGTATAACACCACTCCAAGTTACTCAAACCTGAAGACTTTTCTCAGTTGATCCAGTGGGGATCAAAAGGTACTCTATCTAACCACACTATAGGATCCGAACAACTGTTCTCCTAAGTGTTTACAACAATTTGTTTACAAGAAAATTTCTAACCTCCAACTAGAAACTAAGCTCTAAAAGTGTAATCATGTATAATCTAGTCTAAGAGCTTAGTGAAGCATGAGTCTAAGCAGAGAGCAAAGTTTAACGTGCACTTTCTCTTTTGCTAGATATCTCTTGAATGTTTGAAGTGAATACTCTACTTAGATAACTCAAAAACTTGATTTTAGAACTCATGCTTCTGCTTACTTTTATAGGCCTTTTCAGTAGATTAATCTCCTCCGTTGGTTGAGAGGAATTAATCGTAGTCGCAGAAAGAGTTGTACTCGTGTCTTTTTGTGTTGAAGCAGGATAAGGAGATTTCCTTTTATCTTCACTGATCAGCTTCCTCTGAGAGATCACTTCTATCTCTTATCATCTTTAGGGACCCGTGTACAAACCTTGCATTAAATGCTTTTTAGCTTTACGCCTTTGTTATGCATCTTATCCCTGCGTGTTACTATGCATCAAGTAAATTATGTACTGGAAGAATCTTTTGTATATCTTGAAGGTAAAAAAAAATTTACCCTATTGAATTTTTAATTTTCCAGTAGAAATTTATTTGATGCATTCGTTCAACACTTTCCACTCTTTTGTTTATTTGTGTATCAAATAAAGTTGTACTGGTGGGATTTGAATATCCTTTTTAAGGTAACAAAAAATACCTTATTGCATTTTAAGTTTCCAGTATACTTTATTTGATATATTTTATTAGTCATGATTATTAGGTGGTGGAGGTGTTTATTTATTGGTATAGTGGCATCATCAAAATCTATCAATTGTTGGGTACTAACAATTTCCCCCTTTTTGATGATGCCAAAACTATACCAAGCAGGACAGATTTTCTTTAGTTCAAAAGGAGAATAATGCAATGTTTTACAGTAGTTTATAGTCACTTTCGGACTATTTGCAGCTGCCTTCTTTGCTGCTATCTGTCTTCTTGAGGAGGGTCCTGCTGAGGTGTCTTCCCCCTTTTTGGCAGCATCTTCCTGTTGGGCTTCTATGAAGAACTCTTCAACCTCTTCTTCTGAGCAAACTTTTCTCTCCTTGAGACCATAGACTCTTCTTGTACTCGTGAGCCAGCCTTTAGAAATCACTGCCCTGCTTTCAGAAGGTTTCTTGAGTACTCTTCTGAAGTGTGATGAAGCTCTTAACGATGTCTTGAGTAAGTGACTCTCAGGACTGAGCATGTGCTTGTTGTCCTCTAGGTAATTTTGAGTGTGAAGTCCAGCATGACAGGGAACTCTTTTTCTTGAGGTCTGTGAGTTTGCTGTAGTTTCCCCAGTCTCCTGCTGCTAGAAGTGTCTTATGGCAGGGACCTCTGCTTAGACCTCTGCTGAGCTTTCTTCTTTTTCTTTTGTTCGGACCTTGTTGCTTCAATCCCTTGTTTTTGGGTATCATTCTCCCTTAGATGATGCTCCTTATGATTAAAATAGTTAGGTTCCCCCTGAGTTGATGCAACATCAATCTTTAAGTTGATCAAGATCATCAAGCATTCCAAGCTCCTGCCTTAGGGAATTGAACCGAGCTTCACTGAGAGGCTTGGTGAAGATATCAGCTAGTTGTTTTTCTGTGGGGATGTACTCCAGTTTGATGGTTTTCTTCTCAACATGCTCTCTGATGAAATGGTGCCTGATTTCAATATGTTTGGTTCTTGAGTGAAATACAGGATTAGGAGTGATCGCAATTGCACTTGTGTTATCACACAAAATGCTAATTTCTTTAGTCTCTTCTCCATAATCCTTCAATTGTTGCTTCATCCATAGTATTTGTGCACAACAGCTGCCAGCTGCTATGTATTCTGCTTCAGCTGTGCTAGTAGCAATTGAGTTTTGCTTTTTGCTGAACCATGAAACAAGTCTTCCTCCAATCAATTGACAGGTTCCAGAGGTGCTTTTTCTGTCAATTTTGCACCCAGCGAAGTCTGAGTCTGAGTATCCATATAGATCAAAGCCTCCATTTGTTGGATACCATAATCCAGAATTAGGATTACCCTTGAGGTATCTCAATATTTTCTTCGCTGCTAGAAGATGGCTTTCTTTTGGTTTTGATTGATACCTTGCACATACTCCAACAGAGTAGGATATGTCTGGTCTACTCGTAGTAAGGTATAACAAGGATCCGATCAATCCTCTGTATAGTGTAGGATCAACATCTTTACCTTCTTCATCTGGAGTTAGGCCTTGCGAGGTGTTCATAGGAATCTTCACCGTGGATTTGTTCTCAACCTTGAATTTCTTCATGAGATCTCTTGTGTATTTGGCTTGATTGATGAAGATACCTTGAGAAGTCTGTTTAATTTGTAGTCCCAAGAAATAGTTCAATTCTCCCATCATGCTCATTTCAAATTTGCTTTGCATGAGAGCTGAAAATTTCTCGCATAATGCTTGGTTTGAGCTTCCAAATATTATGTCATCAACATAAATTTGGACAAGCAGTAAGTCTGGACCGTCTTCAATTTTGAAGAGAGTTTTGTCTATTTTGCCTTTATTGAATCCATTGTTCACCAAATATTGAGAGAGAGTTTCATACCATGCTCTTGGTGTAACACCGGACCCGAATTTTACCCAGATAAAATTTTTTCGTAAAGTACTTGGTTAAAGAAGGTAAATCAAGACTAAGAGTAGTCTCGATAAATGTGAAAGTAAAATTTTGTCCTAAATTAATAAAGGGTTATTAATTTAGGCGTAGGACCACTCGTGGTTTTTCAAGTTTATAAAATATTAATGTTTACCAAAATGATATTATTATGATAGTAGGGATGGGTCATGGACCCCAATGATATAAAGAACGACAACTAGATGGCCAAGCGGGCCGGGGTCACTATCCGATAATTGTGAATCATTAATTATCGGACTGATAATAATTCGGAAGGCTACAAATTAATAACAGAAGGAATATAAATATTTTAAGAACCCAAAACATGGGATGATGGATAATAATGAGCAACTTGACATGTTAGAGGTGGGTACTTTTGGAGGACCCTACCTTGAAGATATTTTTGTATAAGAATAAACAGATAAGATTTTATCTGCTTATACAGTTGGGACCACTTAAAAATAAGTGTGACATTTTATTAAAGTGTCACAAAATATGAAAACACATATTTAGCATTAGGAATGATGAATGAATTTTTAAAGTAACTTATTCTCATTTTTACCGCTACTTGAACGGTAAAAGGCACGTTGGGCCCACACATGGGCGGGGACCATCCGATATTTACGGACCACATATTATATTCATCTTGGTTTAGATAATATTTATATGATGGTGTAAATTAATGTGAGCCATAAAGTTGGCCTTTCAATCAAACGAGGTCCCATTGTCGGTATAGTTAATTAATCAGATAACAGCCCGAAATAAATTCCGGGGACCACTAAATTAAAGCGGGGTAAAATATATTCATTTTAGAGTCCAATATTAATTGAAAGAATGATATATATTTTACTTGACCCGATAAAATAAAATATAATTAAAACAGTCCAGAAAATACAACTTTCGGGGCCGAATGTACATTTCGGGACATATTGGGATGACCTCCCACATGGGTGGGGGCCATCCCACGTAATTATGCAACCAATCAGTCGAGATGTGGGCTGGAGGATGATGGAGGGATGCATTGTATGGGATTGGAATTGATTGGCATCAAAAGGACATGGGTGGGTCTTCTCATTTACCTTGATTGAGAGTAAGGTGCCAAATGAGTGTGTTGACTTTTCCCTTAGCCTCCCATCCGAATTAGGCCATCAAATAGATAAATAACCTCTGCAAATACTCCCCTCCATAGCCATGAACCGAGCTCAAGGTTGAAGAAGGCTCAAGGAAGAAGAAAGGCTTGGAAAAGAAGAGAAAAACTTAGAAAAATCAAGGTAATGACTTCATTAGTATTTTTCTTCCTTCATTTAATCTCATATGATTTTATAAATCATATGATACACTTCTATAGGTGTTGAATGAGGGTTTGGAAGGTTAAGTTTAACCATGAACGGAGTTATGGCCGGAGTAAGACCGGTTCACCGGGAAACACCTTCTCGGAAGGTTTTGACATTTATACCACTTTTGGTTGTGAAAACTTGTTAGGAATTTTACCAAGGTATTCTAGACTTCTCAAGGAATCTAGGAGTGGCCGGAAAAGTCGCCGGAGCCGCCGGAGTTTTCGCCGGAAAATTCAAAAGTCGCCGGAGTTCAAACAAAGAAGATAAAAGCTTGCTAGCGTCATTTCGAGGTGAGTGGACGACTACGTGTCTTGTAACTCTTGGTTCAAACGTGGGATTACCTAAATAAAATCATAACCATGATTTGAGAAATGATGAAGTGGATTAAAATGCATGATTAGTCATGGTGTATATGACTAATGAAAAAATAGATTAATTTATTAATTAATCATTAGTACGTAGTATATATTTCTTAATGCATAAGAGGATATACTTGAACCATGTATGAGATAAGCTCGAATAATCTAGGAAGTGAATATAAATGGGTTGTAAAGTTGTGATTATCCATATTAAATATGGATTATGGAAGTATTATATGATTAATGAAAAATAGATTAATTTATTAATTAATCATGAGTATATTTTTCTTAAATGAATAAGAAGGTATACTTGAACCGTGTATGTGATTAACTGGAGTTATCTAGTAAGGAAATATAAAAAGATATGTGATATGTGATTAGTCATATTAATTATGGATTGTGGAAATATGGCATAATTAATGATTAATCAATTAATGGTATGAATAAAAGGTTGTAAGAAAGGATCATGAGCCATGATTTGGGCTTGGGCATGAGATTACTCAAATAAAACAGAATGATATTCCTTGAAATGTTAAATACATCTAAGAATGTATTAAAGAAAGATTTACTTATTAATAGTATTAATAAGTGTATTTAATATGCTTTAATTTGGACAGAAAATGATTATAAATTATGTGTGATGATTTGGACGTCCAAAATAACATTTTTGGACTAAGAATGACTTGTTTCATAAGCGTATAAAATTTCGTGGAAATCGGACCCCGTTTGGATGGTCAAACGGGCGTTGACCAAAATGTTGACCGGTTGCCCAGGGGGTAACCGGCGCCGGTTATAGGCAAAACCGGCGCCGGTTATGGTTCGGTTTACTCAAGAAAATCAGTAAACCGGCGCCGGTTATGGGTAAAACCGGCGCCGGTTATGTCTCGGCTTTCAGGACTGATTTTTGCTAAAAACCCAAATCGGACCCGGTTCGACGTGGGATTAATTCTGGCCATCCTATATATGAACATTTTGCACGGAATTGCATGAAATATGATGTTTAAAATGATAAGGCTTGGAATACGGTTTAAACGCTAAGACTTGGATTAGTCGTTAGTAAAGAAATTATAGACCACGACCGGGCGAGGTACGTGGTAGATTATACATGGCGGGTGAATACCCGGGACCAAGTAAGGTTATATAATACTATGTAGGACCAGGAGGAGTCCTCTACACTCAAACGTTAACAAGGGCCCGTGCAGTCCTTGAGGTGTGTTTAACCTCCATCAAATTGCATATAGGTAACAAGGGCATATGCAGTCCTTGAGGTGTGTTTAACCTCCATCAAATTGCATATAGGTAACAAGGGCAAATGCAGTCCTTGAGGTGTGTTCAACCTCCATCAAATTGCATATAGGTAACAAGGGCAAATGCAGTCCTTGAGGTGTGTTTAACCTCCATCAAATTGCATATAGATAACAAGGGCAAGTGCAGTCCTTGAGGTGTGTTTAACCTCCATCAAATTGCATATAGGTAACAAGGGCAAATGCAGTCCTTGAGGTGTGTTAACCTCCATCAAAGTGCATATAGGTAACAAGGGCCCGTGTAGTCCTTGAGGTGTGTTAACCTCCAGTAAATTACTCATAGGATGAGGGTGTATGCGTACTCCTCGAGGCGGGGTTAACCCGGAAATGAAAACTATGATAGCAAGGACGGATAGTCCTCGAGGTAGGTGAACCTCGAAGTAATGATTTTAAATGATTAAACGTGCTTGATCGGGAACGAGTTCCCGATATAATATTTTCCTTGGTCTAGGGATTGATTTAAACCATGTCTGTGATACGGGAGTCCGAAGGGCCCCACAGTAATTATATTTTAGTATCGAGTGAGTTAGCCTGCGGGTGACTCCACTCGAGGGTAAGGCATGGGAAGGATGAATTTAATGAGGCTGTCACGCCTAAATGATTTGAAAGACAAATGGGCCCACGGGCCAGATATTTTACTCATATGTATATATGTATACATTTAGTTTTGAAAAGGGGTAGCTAAGAGTTATGCCCATAATTATACTATCACCCTATTTTGAGGGTTTCACGTGAGAAACGTTAGTTACATTACATACAGTTTGCCCTCACCAGTACTTTTCTGTAGTACTGATCCCCCGGGGGAACCACCCTTTCAGGTTGAAGCTAGAGCTTACTTCCTGCACCCGTTGCTCGGGAGATCGATGGAGAGAAGACGTGGTTCGTGCTTCCTCTCGTTCCGTTTTTAAATAATTAAATAATGCTCATGGAACTATTTTCACTTATAAATTAATGGAGCCTGCGAGCTCTTGTTTTACCCTTGTGTGGGTTCTTACTAAACACTTATATTCCGCTATGTGTTTGATTGTATGTTGATGTTGTTATGTATGTTTACTAATCGGTTTTGGCATATGTATCTTTCGAACGTCTTGTATAATTCGGTAAGGATGAACTGTGGTTATTCTTATTGGGTTGTACGACGGTTGTCCACGTGGCACAGACGCGGTCTGGGGCGTGACAATTAAGTGGTATCAGAGCCAAACGGTTTCTAAACTATATAGTCAACCTCTCAACAAAGTTTCTATCAAAACAGTTTTCAATGAAAAACCATGAGCATAAGTTTTGTACTTTAAGAGCATTTGGTTATCGAGTTGCAAGGTCTCTGGTTGTTAAGATGGGCCCCTTAACAATTGGTATGGCAGTGACTTGAGCCAAGGTGTGTCTTGAGTACGTTTCTGTCAATTGACATTCAAACGAGTCCAAAGACTCATTCCAACATATTCTTTCAGGAATGGGTGGTAGTGATAGGGCGGTTCGAGGAAATCCGAGAGGGCGCGCACCGGGGCTAGCCGGGCAAGCCAATCGGGGGATATCAAGGTCGCGTAAAAGGCGAGGTATGGGCAATCAAGGCCCACGAACACGAGCCACGATGGCTGATCACAATGTGACTGAATTCGAGTCGTGGAACTCGGAGGATGACTCAACTTATCACTCTGAAGGTGAGTCAGATGAAACTTCTTTTGAGGGAAACAGTGGAGAGGATATACATGGTATTCCTCCTGACCAAATTAGTGAGATGTACCGATGGTACCAGCGTGAAAGGGAAAGACAACGACAGAGATCCCAGGCGGGACATGTCAGAGACGAGACCTCTTGTAAAAGGGGTCAGGGTGCTCATAGAGCACATGTTAGGACAGTCAGAAATTCTGATGGCGAAGGACCATTCATTAAGATCTCAAAGTAGCTCAAAGAGGCTAGGGCCTTGGGGTGCAAACCGTTTGATGGGACGGGGGATATCTCGGAAGCAGCCGAGTGGATAAAATGGTTAAATGATGCAGCCGACGACATGCAAGTGGTCCTTGAACGGAAGTTAAGGGTAGCCACTAGATTATTGGAAGGCTTAGCTTCTACTTGGTGGGAAGGCATCAAGAGTAAGTTTGACGGGGTTGTCACGTGGGACAACTTCGAGCAAGCATTCTATGAGCAGTTTTACACCTCTTTTGAAGTAAATCGAAAGAGAAGGGAATATACCAATCTCAAACAGGGCAATGAGTTCTCAGTGAAACAATTAGAACAAAGGTTCCGACATTTGGCAAGGTTCTTGCCTGAATATGCCGCAAATGAGGATCGAATGGCGAACCATTTTTGGAACGCACTAAATTTGGAGGTACGTGAAAGGGCGACCTACCAATTCAGCATGACTTTCAGTCAAGTAGTAGCCCAGGGTCTCCAGGGGGAGGAGCTTTGGGAGGAAAGACAAACAATGGGTGTTAAGGAAGCACAAGAAAGGGATCGAGTGATCAATCATCCTCCACAACGAGAGAGAAGGTATCATCTTCAGAGCAAGAGAGACTCTAACACGTCAGTTCCGTTTCAAAGAGAGAGCCGAGATTGGGTAAGTCGAAGCTCAAGCACTCGGGGCACGGGAGCACCCAAATGTGAGAATTGTAGGCGAAAGCACTATGGGATATGTCTAGAACCAGCTAGATGCTACTTTTGTGGAGAGACGGGCCACATAAAGGCTCTTTGTCCACAACGTGTGCGGGGAGGAGCCTTGGGGGCCCATAGGGGAGTCACGGAGGTTGCAAACCCAACAGGGATTGCTTCAAATGTTTTACCATCCACCAATCGGTGGAGAACTCGCTCGTGAAGGCGATGGATGATAGAAGCCACTTGTGGGAATGACTATGGCATAAGGTAATTTTTATTTAAACCCTATATTTCATAAAAATACTATGATGTTGAAAATGGTTAGCTTCAATTAATGAAGGGACAAGTATTTCTTAAGGGTAAGACGTTAATTTCGGGGACGAAATTCCTGTAAGGGGGGGTGAACTTGTAACACCGGACCCGAATTTTACCCAGATAAAATTTTTTCGTAAAGTACTTGGTTAAAGAAGGTAAATCAAGACTAAGAGTAGTCTCGATAAATGTGAAAGTAAAATTTTGTCCTAAATTAATAAAGGGTTATTAATTTAGGCGTAGGACCACTCGTGGTTTTTCAAGTTTATAAAATATTAATGTTTACCAAAATGATATTATTATGATAGTAGGGATGGGTCATGGACCCCAATGATATAAAGAACGACAACTAGATGGCCAAGCGGGCCGGGGTCACTATCCGATAATTGTGAATCATTAATTATCGGACTGATAATAATTCGGAAGGCTACAAATTAATAACAGAAGGAATATAAATATTTTAAGAACCCAAAACATGGGATGATGGATAATAATGAGCAACTTGACATGTTAGAGGTGGGTACTTTTGGAGGACCCTACCTTGAAGATATTTTTGTATAAGAATAAACAGATAAGATTTTATCTGCTTATACAGTTGGGACCACTTAAAAATAAGTGTGACATTTTATTAAAGTGTCACAAAATATGAAAACACATATTTAGCATTAGGAATGATGAATGAATTTTTAAAGTAACTTATTCTCATTTTTACCGCTACTTGAACGGTAAAAGGCACGTTGGGCCCACACATGGGCGGGGACCATCCGATATTTACGGACCACATATTATATTCATCTTGGTTTAGATAATATTTATATGATGGTGTAAATTAATGTGAGCCATAAAGTTGGCCTTTCAATCAAACGAGGTCCCATTGTCGGTATAGTTAATTAATCAGATAACAGCCCGAAATAAATTCCGGGGACCACTAAATTAAAGCGGGGTAAAATATATTCATTTTAGAGTCCAATATTAATTGAAAGAATGATATATATTTTACTTGACCCGATAAAATAAAATATAATTAAAACAGTCCAGAAAATACAACTTTCGGGGCCGAATGTACATTTCGGGACATATTGGGATGACCTCCCACATGGGTGGGGGCCATCCCACGTAATTATGCAACCAATCAGTCGAGATGTGGGCTGGAGGATGATGGAGGGATGCATTGTATGGGATTGGAATTGATTGGCATCAAAAGGACATGGGTGGGTCTTCTCATTTACCTTGATTGAGAGTAAGGTGCCAAATGAGTGTGTTGACTTTTCCCTTAGCCTCCCATCCGAATTAGGCCATCAAATAGATAAATAACCTCTGCAAATACTCCCCTCCATAGCCATGAACCGAGCTCAAGGTTGAAGAAGGCTCAAGGAAGAAGAAAGGCTTGGAAAAGAAGAGAAAAACTTAGAAAAATCAAGGTAATGACTTCATTAGTATTTTTCTTCCTTCATTTAATCTCATATGATTTTATAAATCATATGATACACTTCTATAGGTGTTGAATGAGGGTTTGGAAGGTTAAGTTTAACCATGAACGGAGTTATGGCCGGAGTAAGACCGGTTCACCGGGAAACACCTTCTCGGAAGGTTTTGACATTTATACCACTTTTGGTTGTGAAAACTTGTTAGGAATTTTACCAAGGTATTCTAGACTTCTCAAGGAATCTAGGAGTGGCCGGAAAAGTCGCCGGAGCCGCCGGAGTTTTCGCCGGAAAATTCAAAAGTCGCCGGAGTTCAAACAAAGAAGATAAAAGCTTGCTAGCGTCATTTCGAGGTGAGTGGACGACTACGTGTCTTGTAACTCTTGGTTCAAACGTGGGATTACCTAAATAAAATCATAACCATGATTTGAGAAATGATGAAGTGGATTAAAATGCATGATTAGTCATGGTGTATATGACTAATGAAAAAATAGATTAATTTATTAATTAATCATTAGTACGTAGTATATATTTCTTAATGCATAAGAGGATATACTTGAACCATGTATGAGATAAGCTCGAATAATCTAGGAAGTGAATATAAATGGGTTGTAAAGTTGTGATTATCCATATTAAATATGGATTATGGAAGTATTATATGATTAATGAAAAATAGATTAATTTATTAATTAATCATGAGTATATTTTTCTTAAATGAATAAGAAGGTATACTTGAACCGTGTATGTGATTAACTGGAGTTATCTAGTAAGGAAATATAAAAAGATATGTGATATGTGATTAGTCATATTAATTATGGATTGTGGAAATATGGCATAATTAATGATTAATCAATTAATGGTATGAATAAAAGGTTGTAAGAAAGGATCATGAGCCATGATTTGGGCTTGGGCATGAGATTACTCAAATAAAACAGAATGATATTCCTTGAAATGTTAAATACATCTAAGAATGTATTAAAGAAAGATTTACTTATTAATAGTATTAATAAGTGTATTTAATATGCTTTAATTTGGACAGAAAATGATTATAAATTATGTGTGATGATTTGGACGTCCAAAATAACATTTTTGGACTAAGAATGACTTGTTGCATAAGCGTATAAAATTTCGTGGAAATCGGACCCCGTTTGGATGGTCAAACGGGCGTTGACCAAAATGTTGACCGGTTGCCCAGGGGGTAACCGGCGCCGGTTATAGGCAAAACCGGCGCCGGTTATGGTTCGGTTTACTCAAGAAAATCAGTAAACCGGCGCCGGTTATGGGTAAAACCGGCGCCGGTTATGTCTCGGCTTTCAGGACTGATTTTTGCTAAAAACCCAAATCGGACCCGGTTCGACGTGGGATTAATTCTGGCCATCCTATATATGAACATTTTGCACGGAATTGCATGAAATATGATGTTTAAAATGATAAGGCTTGGAATACGGTTTAAACGCTAAGACTTGGATTAGTCGTTAGTAAAGAAATTATAGACCACGACCGGGCGAGGTACGTGGTAGATTATACATGGCGGGTGAATACCCGGGACCAAGTAAGGTTATATAATACTATGTAGGACCAGGAGGAGTCCTCTACACTCAAACGTTAACAAGGGCCCGTGCAGTCCTTGAGGTGTGTTTAACCTCCATCAAATTGCATATAGGTAACAAGGGCATATGCAGTCCTTGAGGTGTGTTTAACCTCCATCAAATTGCATATAGGTAACAAGGGCAAATGCAGTCCTTGAGGTGTGTTCAACCTCCATCAAATTGCATATAGGTAACAAGGGCAAATGCAGTCCTTGAGGTGTGTTTAACCTCCATCAAATTGCATATAGATAACAAGGGCAAGTGCAGTCCTTGAGGTGTGTTTAACCTCCATCAAATTGCATATAGGTAACAAGGGCAAATGCAGTCCTTGAGGTGTGTTAACCTCCATCAAAGTGCATATAGGTAACAAGGGCCCGTGTAGTCCTTGAGGTGTGTTAACCTCCAGTAAATTACTCATAGGATGAGGGTGTATGCGTACTCCTCGAGGCGGGGTTAACCCGGAAATGAAAACTATGATAGCAAGGACGGATAGTCCTCGAGGTAGGTGAACCTCGAAGTAATGATTTTAAATGATTAAACGTGCTTGATCGGGAACGAGTTCCCGATATAATATTTTCCTTGGTCTAGGGATTGATTTAAACCATGTCTGTGATACGGGAGTCCGAAGGGCCCCACAGTAATTATATTTTAGTATCGAGTGAGTTAGCCTGCGGGTGACTCCACTCGAGGGTAAGGCATGGGAAGGATGAATTTAATGAGGCTGTTACGCCTAAATGATTTGAAAGACAAATGGGCCCACGGGCCAGATATTTTACTCATATGTATATATGTATACATTTAGTTTTGAAAAGGGGTAGCTAAGAGTTATGCCCATAATTATACTATCACCCTATTTTGAGGGTTTCACGTGAGAAACGTTAGTTACATTACATACAGTTTGCCCTCACCAGTACTTTTCTGTAGTACTGATCCCCCGGGGGAACCACCCTTTCAGGTTGAAGCTAGAGCTTACTTCCTGCACCCGTTGCTCGGGAGATCGATGGAGAGAAGACGTGGTTCGTGCTTCCTCTCGTTCCGTTTTTAAATAATTAAATAATGCTCATGGAACTATTTTCACTTATAAATTAATGGAGCCTGCGAGCTCTTGTTTTACCCTTGTGTGGGTTCTTACTAAACACTTATATTCCGCTATGTGTTTGATTGTATGTTGATGTTGTTATGTATGTTTACTAATCGGTTTTGGCATATGTATCTTTCGAACGTCTTGTATAATTCGGTAAGGATGAACTGTGGTTATTCTTATTGGGTTGTACGACGGTTGTCCACGTGGCACAGACGCGGTCTGGGGCGTGACACTTGGAGCTTGTTTGAGTCCATAGAGAGCCTTCTTTAGTTTGTAGACTTGATCTTTCTCTCTGTTTACCTCAAATCCCGGTGGCTGCTCTACATAGACTTCTTCTTCGAGTAAGCCATTTAGGAAGGCACTCTTCACGTCCATTTGATAGTCAGTGAACTGTTTGTGAGCAGCATAAGCCAGGAATATTCTTATTGCTTCAAGTCTGGCAACAGGAGCAAAATTTTCATCAAAATCGATTCCTTCCTCCTGGCAGTAACCTTTGGCTACTAATCTTGCTTTGTTTTTTATGATGGCGCCTTCCTCATCCATTTTGTTTCTGAATACCCATTAGGTTCCTATCACATGTTGATGATAGGGTCTAGATACAAGCTCCCATACTTCATTTCTCTCAAATTGATTGAGTTCTTCTTGCATAGCTTGTATCCAGTCAGAATCTAATAGGGCTTCCTCAATCTTCTTGGGTTCAGTTTGTGAAATAAAACACGAGAACATGGCTTCTTTCTGAATTGATGATCTGGTTCGTACTCCCTCATGAATGTTTCCAATGATTTGGTGAGAAGGATGTTGACTTAACCATCTAGCATCAGATGATTGATTAATTTGAGTCAACTTCTTTTCTTCCTCTTCTTCTTCATCACTTTCCTCAGATAGAATTGGCAGTTTGGGAGTTCCAATTTTGGTGAAGTCCTCTACTGGTGGATGTCTCCAATTAGAGTCACCTGCTGGCAGTGATCTGTTTATGCAGTCACCTGCTGGTTCAAGAATTCTCCTGTCTTTTTGTTTTTCGTTGTTGGGAAGGCAGCTTGGAGCCTCACCATCCTTCATTTCTTTTGATGGATCATTTTCATCTCCTTTATGAGCAGTGGAATGGTTTTCAAAGACCACGTGGATTGATTCCTCTACCACCAGAGTTCTTTTATTTAGTATTCGAAAAGCCTTGCTTGTTGATGAATAGCCCAGGAAGATTCCTTCATCTGATTTAGCGTCAAAAGGCTTGAGATAGTCTTTTCCATTGTTTAGAATGTAACACTTACATCCAAACACATGAAGGTGACTAATATTTGGTTTCCTTTCGTTCCATAGTTCGTAAGGAGTCTTCTTGTAAGTCTTGTGGATAAGACTTCTATTCTGGGTGTAACAAGCTGTATTGATTGCCTCCGCCCAAAATCTTTTGGGCAAGCCTGCTGCTTCAATCATAGTTCTTCCTGCTTCTTTGAGAGTCATGTTTCTTCTTTCAGCAACACCATTTTGTTGAGGTGTTCTTGCTGCTGAAGTTTGGTGATGTATTCCACTTTCTTCACAGTACTGAATTACTATTGAATTTAGAAATTCAGTACCTCTATCAGATCGAATCTTCTGGATTGATGTGCTTTTCTCATTTTGGATGAGTTTCATCAATTCAGGGAGCCTTTTTTCGGTTTCATTTTTCTTCTTCAAGAATAAGGTCCATGTGAATCTTGAATAGTCATCTACAACCACTAGAGTGTATCTTTTGTCACTTAGGCTTGTTGGATCAACTGGTCCAAACAAGTCAAGGTGCAGAAGGCTTAGTGGTCTAGTGGATGACTCTACTTCTTTAGATCGGAATGGTGCCTTTGTTTGCTTCCCTTTTTGACATGCATCACAAAGATGATCCTTTTTGAAGTTGATTTCTGGAAGACCTTTCACCAACCCTTTTCTGGACAATTTGTTGATGGTTTTGAAGTTGAGATGGCTTAGTTTGTTGTGCCATTCCCAACTTACTTTGTTATCAGGCAGGTTCCTTCCTTGGCTGAGCTCCAGTCAACAATGTACATGTCCTTCTTCCTTCTACCAGTGAGCACAATTTTGTTGTTTTTGACATCTCTGATCAAGCAGATGTCTTTGGAGAATGTCAGACTATATCCATTGTCACAAAGCTGGCTTGTGCTTAAGAGATTGAACTTTAATCCTTTAACGTAAGATATGTTTTGGATTGTAAGTCCATTGATTGATAGGTCTCCAGCTCCTTTGGTTTCTCCTTGTTTTCCCACATTCCCAAATGTTACTTTGGGTCCTTCCTCTCCTATGTAGTTAGACAGAAGCCTCTTGCTGCCTGTCATGTGCCTGGAGCAGCCTGAATCTATGTACCAAGTTTGTGAGTCTGCTGCTCTAGCACCTTCCTGTATTTATCATGGTTGAGCAGTAGCCCACAAGTTAGTGGGCAACTTCCCTTGAATAAGTTTAGGCATCCATGCCCATCTTGAACCATTTAACTCTAAGCAGATTGGTCTGTAGCCATTTGAGGTGTTGTAGTTAAAGGGAATGGCTATGTAAGTGTTAATCCTTTTTCTCTTAGGAGTGAAATAGGGATTGAATGTTTTTGTAATGATTTGCTTGTTACCTTGGCTGTGGTTGGACATGTTTGATGGTTGGGAAGTTTTTGTTTATACAAGTATTGGTATTTTGACATGGGGGCAGATTGATTCCTTCTTGTGGGAAAGGTTTGGGAATGGATTTTTTGGTAGATTAGTTTTCTTGTATCTTGGTGATGGCATATAGATGGTGAGTTTTGAGTGGGTCTGTTGGGGGATACATAGCCAAGACCTTTTCTCTTCCTATTTTGAGTAACTTTAGCAGTAGAGTCACATTTTTTTTCTTTCCATGCTAAAGTTATTCATTTTCAGTTCTCTGTTCTCTTTTTCTAGGACAAGGTTTTTGGCTAAGGTGTCTAATAGTTTAGAATGCATAACCTGTATGTCCTTTTTTAGTTTATCATTTTCTGATCTTAAGAGAACGTGTTGATTTTGGACCTTTTGGAAATCTTGAAGCAAAGATTCCAGTGTGGTGTTGTTTGGTCCAGAATCACTAGTGCTATAGGAAGAGCTGGAGGTTACCTCTATATCGCTGAAGTGATCATCTGCCATGAGGCATCTGAAAGAGCAATTTTCTTGGTAGTCACTGCTGCTTTTCTTTTTAGTATTCTGCCAAGTCCCAAGGCAGAGTAGTGCTTCTTCTGAGCTTTCAGATGAAGAACTTTCATCGCTTGAACTGCTTTCTTCTTCACTATGAGAATCCTCCTTCTTCTTTTCGCTTACAAAGGCTTGGCGCTTGCCTTTGAAGTCTTTGTATCCATTCTTTTGAGCAGTAGTCTGCTGCCCTTGATACTTGTGAGCCAATGGGAGAGGACACTCATTTTTGTAGTGTCCTGGCTGTCTACAGTTGTAGCATAGAATGGTGTTCTCATGTGATTGAGCTCTTCCTTGTCTTCTGTAAGAGTTAATGAAAGGCTTCTTTGTGGCTGATCCTTCTCTTTTCATGAACCTTTTAAATTTTTTCACGAACATTGCAAACTGCTCATCTGTGAGAAGATTGATGAGTGATTTCTCAGAGGATCTTGATGTACTTGGTGCAGATACCAAGGCTAGTGTCTTTGTTTCTTCTTCCTTTTCTTCTCTGATCTCCTTCATCTCAAATTCATAGGCTTTAAGATCACTGAACAGTTTGTCAGTTGACAGGATTCTTAGGTCTCTGCTATCTCTCATAGCAGTGACTTTCATATCCCATGTGGATGGCAGTCCTCTCAAAATTTTGAGAGAGATTTCCTTTTGAGAGAGAACTTTACCTAGGTCGGAGACCTCTTCTATAATTTTTAGGAATCTAGACTCCATCTCATGGATAGATTCATTTGGAAGCATCTTAAAGTCTTCAAACTTTTTGAGGGCAATGGTCAGTTTGTTGTCCTTTTCTTGCTCATCTCCTTCTCCAATTCTGGTTAGTGCATCCCAGACATCTTTGGCATTTTCATATTTCCTTATTCTAGGAAATATGGATTCATCTACTGCCTTTAAGAGAGTGTCTCTGGAGATTTTGTCAAGATTGTTTCTCTTCCTATCTTCAGTTGTCCATTCCATTTTTGGTTTTGGAATGTACACATCTTCAGCTCCTTCTATTCTGGAAGTGATGACCTTCATTATTTTGATAGGTCCATCAGTGATCACTTCCAGCATTTCATCGTGCAGAGCACTTAGATGTGCCTTCATCCTGATTTTCCAGTCATCAAACTTGTTTAAATTGAACAAGAGATTTTTGGAAAGTTGGTTGTCCATGACTAGAAAGTTTATGGGATATATGTGGATTTGGATCTTTAGTTCAAAAATAGTCAGAAACTGACTCTAGGAACACACTGCTCTGATACCACTTGATGGTCCCGGATAGAGGTAAAAGTCTAGAGGGGGGGGGGGGGGGGGTGTAACACCCCGATTTTGTGAGCTAGTTTTATTAGTCATTATTATTTCATTCAGTTAATTACATGAACAATGTGATATATTCTTTTATCATGTTTGTATTTGTGGCAGGTAACGTGGACCGGTAAGCTCCAATAATTTTAAGTGAAGAAATAATTAATAGTATATACTTTATTAGCATATTTTGAAAGCCCTGATATAATAATTCAGTTGGGTCGAATTCATTTTTTTAAAAGACTAAAACCATACGGATCAATTATTTCGGCCCGAACCAGTATTTCAACGAAAATCCCTAGAAAGGCACAACCTAAATACATAGTATATTATCATTCCTAAACCCTTGAGGACCGGCTCTCTCCATTACCAGCAGTTTGTCGTTCTTGTTATCAAGTCAGTGAAGGAAAGTTTCTCTCAAATTCTTCAATTTGCCGGCCAAACCTTTTATCAGATTATTGTCTCTGCATCTTGTAGTAAAGTAAGCTGAATTTTCTCCCTGCATTAATCTTCTTCGTCTATAAAAAAAAAAAAGTCTCCTTCGACTCACACACTGAAGTTTATGTTTTGCCGTGAATCAATCTAAAATCTGGTGAAATTGAAATCTTCTTCCTCTAGTTACGATCCAGGTTTATTAATAAATTATCACTTTGAAAGTTCAATTCATTTGTAGAATTTGGTATTCATG